GCCACACTGAGGTAACGGGTGTGAGCCTGAATTTGTATTTGGTACTCTCATCCCTAAAGACCTTGCATTTTCAGTCCGTTCCCTATGTTGTGCACATATTTTCTAAGTCACAGTTGAGCCTGTTTTCACTTAAGTAAGGCAAGCGCTGACTGTAGCTGCACATCCCCAGCCTAGAAACACCATCAGGCAATGAGGTGACTCACACATGACTTACTCTTAGGGAATCCTGGCTGTTCTCAGCAAATAAAGCACAGAGCACTTATGAGTGACACATTTAACGAGTCAGCTAGAATCACTGATATCAATACAACTATGTGGTCATTGAAAAATATGCTTTCCCCTTGCTTTTGAAGAGTCCTTTGAAGGCTCCTGGCACAACATTTCCATGTCTCATGGCCACCAAATTGCTGGTATGATTCTGAGCTGACTTTTGAACTGAGTCCGACAGCTATTGAGTCCCAGGACATGCTCTCACTCACAGAACACAGTGCACTCTCCCTAGAACCCCACCTTCATCTGGCTTCAGGGTTTTCCTTTCCATTTACTGGCACAGACATGCCAAAACAAGTGCTAAAAAGATGCTTGCTCTTTCACAGTCTGAATGTCCTCAATCCAAGAAATGACAACTGTCTGAGGTGATGCACTTATGCTGACAAGTGCCACACACTTTACATGTGTACTGAAAAGAGACACTGCTACCCTGAAAATCAAGTACGTACAGTTATTATAGACCAATTTTTAATTGTTTTTTCTCTGAGACAAGAGAGACAAAGTATCTCTATGTAGTCCTGGCTATCCTGGAACTTTCTATGTAGACCGGATTGGCCTCAAACTAACAAGAGAGTCTCCTGCCTCTGCCTAACAAGTTATAGGATTAAAGACGTGGTGCCGCCATGTCCAGCCTTAAAAGTATCTTTTTCTATTCTTCTCCTATCATAGACTATTAACCTCTTCCTCTCTCTAGAAACCCTTAACACATAACCCCAGGAGCACTACAGTAAGCAGGACATTTTAACCCCATTACACTGAGGCTCTCTAGTCTTGTCATGTTAGTATGGAGGGCTCCCCTTTACATGTCTGGCTTCATTATAGCTGTATGAGTTTCAACAGAAAAACAGTACCTTGCTTCTTCTTCTATCCTTATCTATTTAGGCTTCTCTCCTATGTCTCTATATCCTATAGCAGGGTACTACAAGGCAGACTTTTACAGGGTTCTGTAAAGGACAGCAAGAGAGGAGTTTGTAATCCAGGAAGATCAAGGCTCATGAAGCCAGAGAGGACCAAGATAACATTCAGTCCAAGAGATCAACTTGATTGAAACTTGTTTGAAAAGAAAACAGTCAGAAGTGAATCAGAATATAAGCAAATGTCAAAGAACATATTAGAACAGAGGACTCCTCAAAGCCCAGGTAAAACATGGAACCCTGCTGAGGCTCCTTTCTATATAGACCATGACCTGTGGCTCCAATAATACAGGACCGGAAGTCCTTAAGTACTTCAGAGATACACAGATCTGCTCACACCCAAAGTTTTGACTTCAAGCTAGTTTCATTTTTACATTACTCAATTTAACTCGGTGCCCAAATTTTGACTAGGTAGGGCAAAGTACCATAAGACAACATGGTTGTAGTTTCTCAGCATGGAAGGAGATTGCAGGTTAAGCTGAGGAGCAAACACTGAGTATTACAGTACAGTACAATAGTGAGGAATGACAAGGAAAGAGTGCTCTGCTATCAGAGCTGAGGACACAAGAGAGGGAGCAGGTGAAGACTTCTACGATGGAGTGCTGGAGCCACTCTGCTTGCCTCTTTTGTCTCTAGAAAGGAAATATTGCCCTCTACTTATCTAAAAGGATTCTGGGAGTCAGAGCAGGTACAAATAATACATATGGATATATGGCATGTACTTCAGCTGGAAGTCCTGAGTTCAATCCCAAGCAAGGCATAACTTTGGCATACTGGCACATGCCTATTATTTGGGTGCTTGGGAAATAGAGGCAAGAGGATCAGAAGTTCAAGGTCATCTCTGGCTACCCACTGAGTTCAAGAAAGTCTGGGCAGAATGAGAACCCATCTCAAAACAATAAAATAAAATAAAATCAAAAACAAACAACAAACAAAAAACCAAAAGCAATGTAATGTATAGACTAAAGGAGAGATCCTGGCACAAGACTCTCAAATGAAATAGAAACAAACACATTACTACTTCCTGTAAGAGCCACAATAGCCCAGCATAGAAGAAAAGCTGCTTTGCTTTATAACCTGGAGAAGGCGCAACAGGATCATCTGTGTTTTGAATTCAAGGGAAACAAGACCAGAGTCAATATTATTTCCCAAAGCTTACTAGGACCAACTCTTAAATTTTTCTATTTCCACCTTCCTCTTTAATAAGACTGGTGTAATACTAAGGTTCCATGAAAGATTTTTTTTTTAAAGATTTATTTATTCATTAATTATGTATACAGTATTCTGCCTGCATGGGTGCCACGCAGGCCAGAAGAGGGTACCAGATTTCATTATAGATGTTTTTTTGTTTGTTTGTTTGTTTGTTTGTTTGTTTGTTTGTGGTTGCTGGGAATTGAACTCAGACCTTTTGGAAGAACTGTCAGTGCTCTTAACCTCTGAGCCATCTCTCCAGCCCTCCATGAGAGATTTTTAAATACATGAACATGCACTTCCCTATTCTTTGACTGTTGACTAGATTTTCATATCTCAATGTAAAATGTCCCCCACATAAGTCTCTATGCATGATTTCTACAGGTACATATTTGTTCGTTGTGTTTAGTATTTGTCAGAGAAAACAAGCAAGCAGATTTCACTTAAAAAAAATAAGAAAAATGAGTAAACTGATTTCAGAAGATAGGTACTGAAATTAACTTAAAATAAGCTGGGAGAAGGGGCTGCTGAGGGAGAGAGGGGTATTTTACAAGTGGTCCCCTGAAGAGTGAAGTGCAGCGAGGAGATTTCCCCCAGTCAGTGAGGTGCTGAGCTCCCAGGTTTGTAGCAGAAGGAGGCATTTACCCCACAGTGAGTGCACATTAGACCAGCACAGAAAAAAAATGCTCTGAACAAGTGTCACAACTAGAAGTAGCAGGGCACACATAGAATCAGGTCTCTTTAGTCCAGGCCTTTGCTCTGTCCAAGACTCCACAGTCATGGTTCTAGGATGCTATTAGGTGGTTTCCTATAATTTCTCAGTGGAAGCTTGAAACTTGCCTGTGAAAGGGAACTGAAAGGACTCCTGTGTTCCACACAGCTAGCTGAAAGAAGAGGCAGGGTTATTACATACACCTGGAGAAGGAGGAAGGCTTAGCTCATCCCGGTGGGCGCAGTCTTTCTTTGGAGGGAGCAATGTTTAGGCTCAGGCTCACAAGGGTGGTGGTGAGCACTGTGAACATTTTCTGCAAACACTATCACCATCCCCATGACGGCAAGAGGAAGGCTTTGCCATCGCTGAGCCTCACGCAGGTACAGTTTGCCATTCCCATGGGTCTGAGGTACTGGTGTCATTGATATGGTGATGCCTATGTCAACAACACACACTCACTAAGGATTTCACTGCTCTCTATAATCTGGTTTCAGAGTAACATATAAACATATAATGTATTACTATATATTCTATATTACGGTAATCTTTGAATATCTCTCAATACAGCATAAACTCAGATTATATATATGTGTGTAGGTCCAGTTGGAAGGATATTTTCAATGCAGCAACTTCCTGTTTCTAGGAACAAGAGCTAACAGGATGTTTAGTAAAAGCCTCTGCAAAGTGAATGCTCTCAACACTGACGATGAGGGTCCGCAGCATGTCTTGGTTTGTAATCATACTGACTCTCTGCTTGTACCTTTCCCCTTGTATCAACTTTCTGAAATCATTACTTAGCCATCGTCCCCTCCCCCTTATACACAAGTGTTCATAAAAGAAAACACTTTTAAGGCTCTTGAAAGTAAAATCTACCACCCAAATTTCTAAAATGAATCACCAAGTGCTGGATGAGGTAGACTGTAACTCTGCATCAGGAAACAAAAACCAGTCTAAGTGAGTCATCTCTGTGATCAAAGATAACACAGCCACAGCTCCAGGCTTGGTGGCAAACACATGGCCGCAGCAAACACATGGCCACAGCGATCACACGTCAGAATCTGTGTTTAATGCTTTCTCACATGGAAATGCGTAAGTCAACTATGTGAGACCAGGAAGCGGAACCCGAGTGTCACACAAATAATAAACACACTCTCTCAAGTTTGTGTTCTTATACTGCTTCGCCAAGTCCACTTCAATATTTGGTAGATACATTAAAGGCACCAATTAGTCAAGAAGAAGTAGGATAAAAGCTGTTAATAATATGAGAGCTGCTAAATGCGTTTTAGAGGCTGCACATTAAGGTACTTAAAATTCAAGAGTGATCAGAAGGGGACAGACACCTCAAAAGAGGTAACAGAGCCTTTGGTGACATGTTATATAGCAGGGTCACCTGTACCTGGTATGTGTCTACATGGACTTTGGATCTTTCAAGCACCCCAAGTTTGAAAGAGAAGGTTAAGTGGGACCATGGGCTATGTGGCACTGTCACAGGTGTGCCAGGTCCTGGATGCTCTGACTCCTCCAGGGTGAGAAGCCAGATGTCCTGATCTTTTAAACCACAGGACAGGGAATACATGCTAGGATCAAGCCTGCACATCAAACCTGCGTTGGCTGGCCCAATACCATACAATGCAAATCATAGGTGGTGTTTTCTAAAGGGTTATCTCCGATCAACACCACACAGCCACCTGCAGGTCTCCAAGAAAAACACTACCAACACGGTAGTTCTAGTTCCCACACCCACTGGATTAGCACCTTCCTCCAAATCACTGAAGACCAGTCAGGAATCATGGCAGAAAGTTTTACCAACCTGCTTTCACACAATGGCTCCCTAAGATAATATACTGACTATAATTTTCCAAATAAGAACAAGATAAAGCATTCTCCTCGAGTTCCCCACAACACGACACTACCTGATAATGAAAGGCACAAAAGGGGCCAAGCTGAGTGCAGATGATGTGCCATCCATCGGAGACGGGTAGAGTCTCTCCAGCACCAGGAGTAAGAGGAACATGCTGGGGTGGCGGTCAGGCTCCCCTGGTTCACTGAAAGGAAGTTACCACAGGTAAAGTATTTCACTGAAGAAGCCAGGCACTGCTTTCAAACACATTTTGTCACTTTTTTCTCCTTCACTTTAATGTGCTCAAGGAGAAGTCTCTGGCAAAGCAAGGCTTCTGCAACAATCTTCCTCTACAGCCAGTCAGTCTCAAGTAGACTGTGCTATCCAGGGCAGGAAATATGAAGCTTTCCAGGTATGGTGGATTTGAGAAAGCAAGAATAGGCCATTACTCACCAGAACCAGAAAATCCTACCTGCCAAACTAGGAATTAAAGAAAATGTATCATGACAAAAGTAAATTTCATTGATCTGATTACATCTTCCCATTACAGTTTATATGCATTTACACCAATACAAAGTCTGATGAAAAGAAAAAAAAAATAAAATAAAGGTGTATGTTCTAAGATATCCATAGTGAAAATTCTACTGACAGCTATAGAGTAAGAGTGAAAGGAAATGAGAGCATTTCTCTCCACCCCAGGGAGACGCAAAGCCCTTTATAATGACTCTGCTGTATGCTTCCAAAATTCTTGGTTATTTTTATTCAGGTAGACCAACATTTGATCACAGGTGACCAGATTAGTTAGCCAACTGCTGCAATTTCACAGTGTGAAGCTGCAGCAGCCAGTAATACAAAATAATAAGAACCCATTAAATAAATTTAGTATGTTAACAGATTTTAAAAAATAAGGGGAGGAAATAATTTGTGTGTGTATGTGTAGGCAAGTGGTCAACCTTGGATGTCAATCCTCAGAAACTGCCTAGTCCTTTTAAAACATAAATTAAAAAAAAATATTATTATTGTGCATATGATGGAGAGGAGATACACGTGCCATGACATACATGTGGAGGGCAGAGGACAACTGCTGAGTTGGTATTCTCCTTCCACTTTCAGGTGGGTTTGAGGCATAAAAGACAGGTCATCAGGCTCCAGCCATCTTGCCAACCCTACCTTGTCTTTTGAGATAGGATCTCTCAATGGGACCTGGAGCTCACCCAAGAGGTTAGGTTGGAGAGCTAGCAAGCCCTATGGTCCTCTATGTCTGCATCCCCAGGACTAGAATTACAAGTGCACACACCACTACAACAAGCTTTTTATATGGGTATTGGTGACTGAACATAGCTTTTCAGGCTTGCAGGGCAAGCATTTTATTAAAAAGTAAATTTCCTTTTTCATCCCCCTGAGAAAGGATTTCTGTGTAGTCTTGGCTATTCTGGTACTTGCTCTGCAGACCAGACTGGCCTTGGAATCAGCAGTCCACCTGCCTTTGCCTCCTGAGTGCTAGGATTAAAGGCATAAAATTCTGATGTGCACCTGTCTGTGTGCATGTGTAAATAACCATGAAGACCACAACAGGCTATCAGATTACCAGGGACTGGAATGACAGGCAGTTGTGAGCTGTCTTGACATGGATGTGGGAACAGAACCCTGAGTTCTGAAAGAGCAGCAAGTGCTCTTAATCACTGAGCCATGTCTGCAGGTGATCTGATGACCTCTTCTGGCCTCCATGGGCACCCATGTGCACGCTTATACTAACATGCAGACAGATATAAACAAAATTAAAACTTAAAAAATGGTGTTTATTAGGCTATATTAAGTATTCATAGGATAGTTTCATATGAAATTTCTCAACCTCTTTCATGCCTTCCTACCTTCTATTTCCATGACTTTTTTTTAGGTGACCCATGAATTTCTTTATAGTTGTTTAGGGAAGCATGGGTGAAAGGCTCCTTACAGAATCATGGGAACCTTACCAGTAGATCCTGATGGAAGATAAATGGAGCCTCATGAGCCCCTTCACCTTGCTTGATGTTTGGTTTTTCTTTTTTGAGGCTGGGTCTCTCTCTCTCTCTCTCTCTCTCTCTCTCTCTCTCTTGTGTGTGTGTGTGTGTGTGTGTGCGTGTGCGTGTGTGTGTGTGCATGCACACTTGTGGAAGTCAGAGGACTTTTCAAGAGCTGGCTCTCTACTTCCACAAGAGGTCTTGGCAATCAAGCTCAGGCTGCTGGGATCCGCAGTGAGTGCCTCACCCCACTGAGTAATCTCATCTACTCCAGTGTTTGTTTTTAATTTTATCATCTTATTTTATGTGTACAGGTGTGTACCGTGAGCGCACATCTTTGGGCAGCATTGTAACTGGTGCTTACACAGGACAGAGGAAAGAGTGCTCCCTGGAACTGGACTTACAGTGCTCTTGGCTGCCGGGCCATCACTCTACCACCCCTCCTCCCCCAGTCCTTATTTTCTAGAGAAGGGTCTGGTTATGTAACCCAGGCTGGCCGTAGACTGGGGGCAATCCTCCCTCCATCCTCTGAGGCTGGGATTACGAGCATGAGCCACCCTGTACAGTCTAAAATCCTGAGTAATAAGATACTCCCCATTGTGACTACACTTCATCCAGTGTATTCTCGCCTTACCTGTCCACTGTATTGGCTACAGTTTCCAACTGTCTGAGAAGAAAGGGATACAGTTCTGGGAAACGAGAGAAAAACTCTCTTCCTGTCATTCTGTGGAGGGAGAAATAAAAGAGAAATTATTACCTTTTATAAGCTCTGATTTGATAAGAAAGCCCTGGCCTTCCCCTTTTAAAGGAAAAGAGCTAGTTAATGAAATAGTTGAAAAGAAAAGCTACATCTTACATTTAACAGTCAACACAAATGATGCCTAGTTGAATGTGCTTTTGATGCATGGGCTTATCTCCATAATTAAGATGACATACATTTACAGATACTTGATAGTAACTTCAGTCAGGGAAGAGATATGGACTGTGAACACGACGGGTTTGCATAACTCATTTGAGCTATGAGGTCAGTCAACAACTGATGGACTGACTCAACTTCAGTGATAAGGACAGGCCTAGAATAAGGTTTCCCAACCTGGGCATCATGTAACTGTGGACCAAGTAATCCTTTAGGGTAGAGGATGCTCTCTTTGCTCCAGGATGGTTGGCAGCAGGTATCTACCCACTAGATGCCAGTAGCACAGTATCCTTCTCTCTAATTGTGATGATGACAGTGCCTCCAAACATTGCCAAATGTATATGGCAAAATGTGATGATAAATGGCTAAGAACCAGTGCTTTGGGAATGGACCTGGCGAGGGAGCTTCTATTGGGATCATGCCAGCTTACACTTATAGGGAAGATTACCCTTTCTATATTCATAGAAACTACTCTTTTGTTGTTGTTTGTTTGTTTTTCAAGACTGGGTTTCTCTGTGTGTAGCTCTGGTTGTCCTGATATTCACTCTGTAGACCAGGCTGGACTTGAACTCACAGATATCTGCCTGCCTCTGCCTTCCTAGTGCTGGGATTAAAGGCATGCGCCACCACTGCCCAACTATTGAAAGTACTCTTGACCTTAGAGAAGGTGCTAAAAATAGTTGTCAAATTGCAAAGTAGGCCAAAAAGCTCAAACTTAAGAAAGCATTTAGGAAAAAAACCCTGCTTATTAAAGAACGTAAAGGCCTAACTATTAAAGAAATACTCATAACCTGATCACTGCTTCAACTCTAGACATAACTATTAATGAAGACTCATGTCACAGTTTGTTAAGCAGCAGCATTTCCACGGGCAGCAAACTGCTCAGATCTATGCTGCCAGTCAGCCCACACATACATGCAGATCAACTGCTGTCAGGACTCATGATTTCCCATGAAGCTCCTTTCCTAGACAGCCTCTGCCTCCCCAAGCAACCACTGATTGATTTCTGTTACCACACTTTAGTTTAGTCTATTTTAAACTTTCACAAAAACTTTTCTAGTTTTTTGTCTTGCTTTTCTCACTTGGCATAAAGTTGTTGAGACTTGTCCACAATACTGGCTACAGCAGCAGTGTGAATCTTTTTCTCCTGAGTAGAATTCCACTGTATGAATACAGAAGTTTGTAATTCATTCTGTTGCCAGACATGGGTACCTTTCATGTGGAAGAGGGGAGTTCTGAATAAAATTGCTAACCTGACACCCTCAAAAAAGATTTTTTTTGCTCACATTTTTCATTTCTCTTGGGCTAATGTCTGAGAATAAATGATATGAAATCTGCATACTCTTTAGGAAACCTGTAGCTTTCCAAACAACTCTATGCCACGACTTCATACTGCAGTAACATAAAGTAAAGGTTCTGGTGGGCCTCCACCGTATCCATGGCTTGCAGTGGCTTTTATCTTCTCTCCATTTTAGACAACCTTTGATATCTGTGATTTTTGAGTTACACACCCTTGATGGATGAATGGTGCTGAGCAATCTTTCTATGCTTTAGCCAATGTGTGACCTCCTATTCAAATAGTTTTACCCATTTTACATACAGGTTGTGTTTTTCCCTACACACATACACACACACACACACACACACACCATATACGATTTCCTATTCTGAGTCAACTTACTTTCTTAATGTCTTTAGATAAGACAATTTTTAAATATTTGATTAAGTCCAATAATTTATCAGTTTTCCTTTCTGTGCTCCATGTATCCTACAACCTAAGAAATTTCTGCCCTCCTTAGAGTAACAAAAAAAAATTTTTTTGAAAGACTTATGGTTCAGCCTTTCACACTAAAGTCTATGATCCAGATCCATCTCAGCATTTAGGGCTTGCTGTCTCTCCTTTCCCTCTTATTCCCCTTCCCCATTTTCTTTCTTTTTCCTTTCTTTATATCCTCCCATTATATGGGTCCCAGGGATTGAACTTAGGTCTTTAGGCTTGGCAGCAAGAACCTTTACCCACTGAGGCATCTAACCTGCCTTATCACATTTATAATAAGATGCTTCTTTATTTTATTTTTATTTTATTATTAGTTACATTTTATTAACTCTGTATCCCACTACCTCAATAAGATGCTTCTTAAATAGAAAGATGTAGATGCACTTTGCACAAAGGTTAAAACATAATAATGCTACAAAGATTAAAGTCCCAGTGTATACAAATGCAATATAATTCTAAGAAAACTCTGTGTCCCTGTCTATCTGTCTGTCTCTATTTTGTCCCGTACTACCCCTCAACCACCATGGTGGGTTTAAGTGATGAGACAGATTCTAAAATGTATATGATATACCACAGGCTAAGAGTAAAGAGCAAGGTTGAGAACTCATCCAATCAGGTTTCAAGATATATCAGAGTAACTTATCTACACAGCAAATTCAAGACCATCTTGGGCTACACATGACCCTTCCATAAACAAAAATGAATCCCAGAAGACCAAATAAGTAAGTAAACAAACAAATAAATAATGATATGATAATTGATACTAAGGTTAAAAACTGAATCTTACCCTTCTGATATATACAAAATTAAATTCTACTGTATCTAAGGCCTAAAAACAGTCATAAAGAAATAGACAAAATAAGAAAAACATTAAGTTTTTACTGTCTTAGTCTGGATTACTACTGCTGTGATAAAACACCATGACCAAAGCAAGCTGAGGAAGAAAAGGTTTATTTGACTTATACTTGCACATCATGGTTCACCAATGAAAATTAGGACAGGAACTCAAACAGGGCAGGAACCTGGAGGCAGGAGCTGATGCAGAGGCCATGGAGGGGTGCTGCTTACTAGATAGCTCACATGCCTTTTTCAGTCTATTCAGTCTAACTCAGGACCATCAGCCTAGGGATGGCACCATCCACGATCCTCACTGATCACTAATTAATAAAATGCCTTACAGCTGGATTTTAAAAAGCTATTTTCTCAATTGAGGTTCCCTCCTTTCAGATGATTCTAGGTTGTGTCAAGTTGACATAAACTAACCAGGACACTGACCTATGTTGAAAATTTGAGATTTTGTTCTGACCATTGCTGGCATGATGCTTCAGGCAGCTTAGGTGCTACAACTACTGTGTACCTAAGCCCTGGGGTTACTAGACGATTCAAAGTTAATTCTGTTCAATAATCTGAAAGCTCTAGTGGTTAAGATGATGTCCACTTGTTAGATGCTGCTGCTTACTTTTCCTAAATAAAGCAGCCATAAAGGAAAAAGTGGAAGCGTTCTATAAGAATGACTTGTTCCTCTTCCACATAGCCCTTCAAGATGAACAGTCCTCTTCAAATTGGGTGTGAAAGGAGGAAAGTGAAGTTATAGCTACTGAAATAAGACAAATGATGATGCGGTGGCAGCAGCAGAACAACTTTATCACACCTGGAAGAAGAGCGGCTGGCAGCCTGGGAAGTGGAAAAAAGGGAAGAAAGTGACTATACAACTTTCCTCACAAAGGAAGATGCTTCATGTGACTCCTACAACTTGTGACCCGATTAAACCTAATAATGGTCGTGTCTCTTCTCCCTAGGAGAAGATTCCTTAAACACAACCTGATAGCCTTGTTAAAACACCTGTAAAAGGGTGGCTGGAGAGATGACTCAGTAGTTAAGAGCACTGACTGCTCACCCAGAGGCACAGGTTCAATTTCCTGCACCCACATGGCAACTCACAACTATCTGCAACTCTAGTTCCAGGACACATGACACCCTCACACAGATACACATGCAGGGAAAACACCAAATGCACATAAAGTAAAATAAAAGTAAGTAACAAAGATAAAACATTAAAAAAGTCTATAAAAGCCAAATGCAATGGACCTGGCTCTTGCACTTTACCTAACTCTGCAAACCACATCCTGACAGCTCAGGGCATCTTCCCTTTCTCTGTAGCCCTGAGGAGTTACTGTATGCAGCTGGTGGTGTGGGCAAAAGAGGCCAGGCAACGACTCCCCACTCTCTCTAAAATAAAGCCTGCGATCAATGACTCGACAGAATCATGACCTTTAAGGTTTATCAGCTGAGTTTTCGGCTTTGCTGGAGGCAATGTCAACACAGACTCCTCAACTGACATACAATAGAGCTCTCCTAAAACTACAGACAAATGCTTTATTTACTTAATACTACACAATGCATACCCTTGGGATTATACTTACTTCTGAGCAAACGCAAACAGACATTAACTTGCCTCCTTCCTCAAAAGTGATGTTCTGAATAGCACCAGTGGATTTTGTAATCCTCTGAAGACCAGCCAAGAAGATCTATCTGAGATAGGCTACATTTGGTTAGTCACAGAAACTTCCTATGAATAAGTGACCCAACTTTGTAAACCCTGCAGTCAATTACTTCTACTGTGAGAAAAATCACATGGTTTAAAATATTTCACACAGTTCTACCTGGGGTAATCACCAACATGAAGGTCACTTAGGTTTACTCTAAGACCCATATGCATAGAAAGCTTTGATCTGTGGGTTAAGATAAAGTCTGTATAATCATATATACTCTGGATGAATGCCCAAAGCTAGATGAACAGGTAATCTAGAAAATCATGGAACCTTTTGGTTTGCACCATGTGTGGTGAATATTAAATCTCAGGTGCTCAGGTCTGCAGCTAATGTTAATACTGAAGGTTGTATCCATTTCATTGACAGCTATTTAAATTAATTAAATAATGTATTAGACAAAATGAATGAATGTAGTCCTAATCTGTCAGTCAGATTAATGAAAAGACCTGACAACATGGCAATCTCATGGGACTGGGGTT